AAAGTGGCCCCTCGCCTGCCCCATGGCTGGCGCTCCCTGCTGCAGCCATTTGCAGCCCACGCGGGGCTGTCCAGAGCAGGCACAGGCAGCACCAGGTGGGCTGCAAGCAGCTTCAGCACGGGGCACTGGGCATGGGGTGGGGAGAGGCTGCATCCCCCCACCCCTAGTGCTCAGCACCACCCTGTAACCTGGCCCCACTGCCAGCCTGAGCCCCACGCCAGCTCGAGGTTCACCTGTCGGGGCTGTGCATGGCAACAGCAGCTGCAGCCCCGACCCCCGCTTGCCATGCTGGGCAGTGTTTGCCACCGCCGCCTGTGGGCAGCCTAGTGCATGAGCTCTGGGGCGGGTTACAAGCTGGTGCTCAGCGTGGGGAAAAGCAGCCCCTTGCTTGCACCATGGCCAGCGCCCTGCACTGTAGCCACTCGCAGCCCGCGTGGGGATGCCTGTGCTTTTCCAGACAGCCCTGTGTGGGCTGTGAGTGCCTGCAGCAGGGAGTGTTGGCCATGGGGCAGGCGAGGTGCCACTTTTCCCCGTGCTCAGCACCAGCTTCTTTCCTGCTGGCGAGCAGGGGTTCAGGGCTGTGTGCTGCCCCATGCCTGTACCGTGGGGCTGGCGGGCACTGGGAGTGAGTGGGTGGGGAGCCAGCAGGAACACGGGGCCTGCACCAGCATCCTAGCACCAGTGCCGGCGGAGCCCAGAGCAGGGTGGCTAGAGCGCAGGGTCCCAGGTGGCAGGGGCTCTATGGAGCTGGGCCAGCTCCCCCCTCTCCCTGCTGGTGCCAGCCCAGCCTGGCTCCATAGACCCCTGCCTACCTGCACCCTGCTTTGGGCACCACCGGTGCTAGCCCTGGAACATTGGTCCCAAGATGGTGGCCACGGGGCGGGGCACCTGTCAAGGGGCAGGGCTACCCATATGGCCCTCGACAGCCTGCCAAAACTGGGTAAGCAGCCCTCTGCCCAAAATAATTGCCCACCCCTGGTTTACAGTGACAGGATTCAACATTTGAAATAGGCCTGTACAAAGCAGCTAGTATTCGCTTCAGATTCAGCTGATTCAGGGGACAATGATTCGAATCACTGTCCTGACTCAATTC